GGTTAAATACCCTCTTTTGTCCCTCTACTATAGGAAAAAGGCTCTTTTTAATCCTTGTACTGAAAAAAAATCTCTTTTTTGGTCCTAACTGTTTGAAATCTGACTCCTTTTTAGTCTCTCCGTTAAATTTTGACTTATGTGGTAAATTAATTAACGAAAAACTTTTTTTTTTCTTTACTTAAATTACATGGAAAATCCATCTGTAAAAGTTGATGACATGGCAAAATTTGTTGTTTAAAGAGAATTTAATTACTAATTTACCCTCATCTTCTTCCCCCTTTTGTCTCATCCTCTCTTTCCTCTGACCTTCCTTTTTTTCTTTTTTCAGCTTTGCCTTCTGAAAATCAGATCTTGGGTTTGCAATGAACCCAGAATCCGGGGTTCCCAATGAACCCAAGCGTGTGTTGTTGTGTTGCTATCGACAGGTTCGTCGCAAACCTAGGTGCCTGTGTTTCTCGCGTGTTTGTGTTGCTATGATTTTTTTTTGTTTAGATCTGTGATTATGTGAAATTGTCTGCGAAAACCCAGATTTGTATTGCTTTGTTGCTATCATTTTCTTGTTTAGATCTTTGATCATGTGAAATTCTCTGTAAAAACTCAAATTTATGTTGCGATGTTGCTATCATTTTTTTGTTTAAATCTTTTGATTTTATGAAATTGTTGATCTAGTATCTGTTTTTTTCTTGATTTGGGATGGTTTGGGATGTTTGCATCGAAAAATATTGAACGATGAACAATGAGGGTTAAGGGTAATTTTGAAACTTTAGTTTTTATAAATTATATGTTATGTTTAATGTTTACGTGGAATGCCACGTCATATTTTTTATTTTTATATTTTTCATGTCATTTATACAAAAAAATAAATTAGACAATTCCCTTAATTAACTTGCCATATCAGTCAAAATTTAACGGATGGACTAAAAAGGGGTTGGATTTCAAATAATAAGGATTAAAAAGGAGATTTTTTCAATATAGGAACTGAAAAGAGATTTTTTCCTATAATAGAGGGATCAAAAAAGGTATTAACCTTCAAATATAACATTTTTAGATCTATCTTCCTGAAGACGTCCTGCAATGCAACACAGGTGAGTTTAGCAGTACGGATACTTGGAGTCTGCGAAAGGCTAATAAAGTTTGGATTGGATTAAAGAAAGTCAGTCCAAATGTCCAATGGACCCATAACCTGACTGGACTCTGTTGCATTTGGGGCTTCGAAAGTTCGAATCAGTGGAAATTGGGCTGAAAACTCGACTACCCATGTACCTAAAAGTAAAACCAGCGGTAAAGCTCTCAGTTGAGCTTATTAAAGTAAGTTCAGCTTCACCCATAACTTCCCCACTATAGTCTCTCAATTAGTTAGAAATTTATAATTTTAAATTAAAAATTTTAAATTTACATCTTAAGATGGGTGTAAAGGGATTAAGAGAAAGAGATAGTTATTCCTTATTACACCTAATGTAAAAAAAAAAAAAAAATTATCTTTTATTATATAACTCATTGCTTAA